GACGCGGTGACATTGCGAGACGTGATAATAGTTATCGACATGGAAAGGGTATTCCTACAGGAGGGGATGAGCATTGCGGCGCTGAACCGAATGAAGCTGGAGTTGGAAGCGCGCCAGTCCATCCCGGTGTGGGGGACCCTCCAAGCGCTCTTCATGGAACGGTTACCAACAGCAATCTGCACATACACATCCAGCTCGATGGTCATCATGTAGCGACGACCTTTGTCCACGAATGCTGCGTCTGGATCCGGGGTCATATGCCGTATCTCCCGGACGGACGACTAAGGCTTTTCCATGACACTCTGGCGGGTTTGGTGCCAATGCTCAATCAGACTGCGGATATGGGAGATATTGCCGCTGGACCAACAACATCGTCGACCGCTCCTGATGGTGGACGATTCGATGAACCGTATGCTCCTGGGCCTGACGCAGACCAGTACGAGCCGGAAGCGTTTGGCGGGCAATCCAAAGACGTACCCCATCCAGAATCGCCGTTACCAAGCGAGCTCCCTTCAGTCGCGCCGTTCATTGAACGCGAAGAGGTGTTGCCAAGGCCAACGTGGAACGACCTGCCTATGCACCTTCGCTTGTCGGAACGAGTAAGAAAGACATTTCGGACATTCCAGCAGCCGCGGGGCAGAGGTCTTGAGGAATTGCATCTGGGCAGTTTCTTCAGTACGTTTCCCTTTGAAAATATATGATGATAGAACTAACACCATTACTTTTATAGATAACCGGGAGAGTTCTGATTATCCAGATGTCGCGCTTATGAAATCGATAACAATTGATACGTTGCCTGCGACGACGGTGGAGCAAATTGAGTTGTTGGCGGAGAGCCTGGCACATACGGCGCACGAGACCAGGGATCCTGTTAGGCTTCAGGAAATCAGCATAAGGATCCACGACGACAATGGCCATGCCGGCGCGGAGCTGGCGGATGCACCGTCGTGGCGACACATGGCAGCGCTACTCGGGGAGGCGAGGTTTGCGCACTTGACGCTCAATGTCATGGTTTATTCGCCCAATGCCGAACATCTTGGTAGGGAGCTGGAGGACAGGTTACAGCAAATTATGCCGGAGGGGGCTTTGACTGTTTATGTTTCTTCGCCAGATCAGAGTTCGACGAGTTCTCGTTGAAGTTTAATTATTTCCTGCTTTGAATTATGTTAGTATTCTTGGACACATTTTCTTGCTAAGTAAAGACCTACCTAATAACAACCATGTTGCGCGTGTGCGCTCGGATAAAGATAGCGGATAAGAGCTCCAGATGCAGTCAATCCGTTGGCATATCTGTTCAAAGCTGTAGGCGACAGATTCGCATGAATTGCTGAATTTGACGATTGAGGATGCAACAAATGGCTTTTAGGAGAAGGGTCATAAACAACAATAAAGATGGCAATCAGGGCCGATTCCCGAGCGGTGGTCAGTGCGCGTCGCGGACTTTGAATTGTTGATAGTCACGCCGCGCTTCTGTTGTAAACATGCCCCGTTCTTTCTTTCCCTCCTACCACCACCATGCCCGGTTATCGATTCGAATACGCCACCTCTGGTCGCGCTAAATGCAAAGGTAAATGCTCTGTCTTTTACTCGGGAAAAATAGTATTTCTCATCAATATCGCTTTTTTTTGCAGGTCCCAAGCCGTGCAAGGGTGAGCACAGCAACCGCCTCGCTGAGGGCGCTAGAAATTAAGTTGTCCATGGTATGCTAGGAACCACGATAAAGAAAGATGAACTGCGCTTCGGAACCACAGTGGAATTCAACGGCAATACCTCGTTGTGAGTCGTCGTTTGGCTGCGCACCGACGCGTCTAATCCATCAATCTTCAGCCAGTGGCGCCATTGGGGCTGTGTAACCAAAAAGGTCTTGTCGAATGTCAAGGAGTCGGCGCCAAACCCAGAAGACCTTGATGGATGGGAGGATCTGAAACAGGAAGACAAGGACAAAATCACAAAGGCGTACGATGAGGGCCATGTTGCCGAGGAGGATATCCCGGAGACCGCGAAAGGCGACAAGAACGGCGAGGACGAGGACGACGAGGACGAGAAACCGGCCAAGAAGGGCAGGGCAACCAAAAAGAAGGCGGACGATGGCGAAGAAAAACCGAAGAAAGGTCGGGCGACAAAGAAGGTGCGTTTTATTGCTCTAACTCTGGGCGTTTTTATTGAATCTACTTTAGAAGGCTGATGAGGATGCTGAGGACGAGGAAGAGAAACCCAAGAGAGCTGCCCGCAAGCCTCGCGCCAAGGTGATTTTGCATAAACTTCATCTACCTCCACTTTGACTGACAAATCTATGTAGAAGGCAGAATCTGACAACGAGGAAGAGGAGGAAAAGCCCAAGAAAACCGCTCGTAAGCCTCGCGCCAAGGTAAGTTTTGCACTTCTCCATGTACATTGTCCAACACCAGTGTTACAGAAGGCAGACGCAGAGGAAGACGACGAGGAAAAACCTAAGAAGGTTGCTCGTAAGCCTCGTGCCAAAGTATGTACATCGTTTATGATACTACGCTAAGCTAAAATCTCTTATAGAAAGCCAAAGATGAGGACGAGGAGGATGATGAGGAGCCGGCTCCCAAGAAGGCGACCAAGGCCAAGGCAGCTCCCAAGAAGCGTGCACCGAAGAAAAAGGTTTGTCCTTGTTTCTTTTTTTGCATTCCAATTTTGGTTTTTAACTGTACCGCAGGCTGACGACAACGAATCTGGTGAAGACCTCTCCAAAGACGTTGGAGATGTCAAGGCTTCGGACGGTGAAGAGGATGAGGAGGAAGCACCGAAGAAGCCGGCGCCGAAGAAGAGGGGCAAGGCTGCTGCGAAGGCCACCGAAGAGTCTGCCGCTGAGGATGCAAGTGAGCCTGAAAGCAAGAAGCGGAAGGTATTTAGGCAACTCTGGATGTGGCGACCGATACTCACATGCTTCCCCTGCAGAAACCTGCCTCCAAGGCTGCCGCCGCCAAACCCGCGTCGAAGAGGGCCAAGAAAAGCAAGGCTGCTGTCGAGGAAGACGCAGAAGATATGGACGACGAGTAACTTCTCGCCCTGTATTTCTAAAGCATTTTTTATCTCTGTGCTGTTGTCGGATTCATACCCCGTGCTTAATTTATTTTGTTTTCAGGATCAATATGATCTTACGATGCCATAGACATTGAATATGATAAATGTTGTGCACTCATCACGTCGAGGTTGAATCAAGAACTCACACCCGCCGCGCGCGTTGTGTGAGGAGCAGGAACATCTTATTTCGCCGGCGCTTTATCAGTTGCTCTGGCAGAGGTTGTACGGACTGGTTTCGGTAAGCATCGGGAATCAGAACGGCGTCGCTGGTGGTTGAAAGGAATCGTCGAGCGGGTCATCCGTGGGCTCCCAACGCGGCGTTATATCCAGAGAACGTTGTGTCCGCTGATAATTTCATAAGGAACACGCTTCGGATTGCTGGAGAAATGAGCGGAGACTTTTAGCGCATTACCAAAGGCACCAGCAGTAATGCTGCGACTCCTACACCCACGGAAAGTACGCGTCCGTTGGTTAATGTGTTCTACAGTCATTACAGAGTACACGCATGGCTACGGGACGTCGTCGGGGCGTATCGATTCTCGTTTGCCAGCGCTCGAGCTTCGATCCAAGTTGTGGCTGGGGATTTATTGTATTGTTGATTTTGATCACCAAGACGCGGGTTCTTGATCTTCTTCATTCACATCATCGTGTTGATGCAGAAATGTTGAGATCGAGCGGCCAATTCTTCTCTTCTTCGTATCTACCGGGAGCATTGTGATTAACCTTTGTTCGACGAGCTTTCTGCGCGTTCCTCCTATGGATGCTCTGAGTTGGTGCTTGTTGTTTTGTCTGTTCCAGCTATGAGCGGCTTGGGGAGCAGATTTTATTTACCTCGAAATATGGCTACAGTAGACTCTTGGTATGTGCCTCCGAGTCGAGTAACACATTGCATTGCACTTGCTATGTATACGCTTGATGGGTCGCGAACTGCCTAGTGTGGCGTCAGTATTGAGTCATTTGAAACGGTTCCAAATCAAGCTGCTTGGGCCTAGGGAGTAAAATAGCTAGTTAGAACACTTCAGTGTTTCCATACTGATAGAGTTTACTGCAGTTGATACCATCGATATTGAGGGGGTAGGTTCACTTACCACACATGTGAGAGGTAGCGAAAGGAACAGAAAAGGTTGGAGGTGGAGATGGAGAAGTACTGGAGGTCACAGATGCCATGGTGGGTAAGGCACTGCACAGTAGACACAATTGATATTGAATTTAGGCTGGTGAAGTAGACTCTAGGTTTTGTTTACTGCAGTTTTTAACAGTATCGATACGGTATTGAAACCTTGGCCAAGGAAAGGGTTGGTTTCATACTGACACGTGATCGTTTCACGTGACGGCGTGCTGGCCCTCAGAGAAGCTGAGAGTGGCGGGACAAGGGCGGGATGAGGCGGTGAGCCGCTGCGTCACATCGGTTTTGAATCGGGGGGTCGGTATCAATACCGTTAATAACACCCACGGGAGGTGTACTGTGCCACGGCCCACCCTAATTGAATTTGGAGTCAAATTTGACTCTGAAGGTCTGAACAGTGAAGACTAGGGTGGTGCAGTAAACCCTAGGTTTTGATACACCTCAGGTTTACTGCGGTTATTAACAGTATTGATACGGTATTGAAACAGTTGGGGGTCGGGAGGTAGGTTTCGATACCAGCACGTGATCGCTTCACGTGACGGCGCGCTGGCGTTCAGAGAAGCTGAGAGTGGCGGGACAAGGGCGGGATGAGGGCGGCGAGCCGCTGCGCCACATCACGTGTTCAAAACACGTGCCGGTATCGAAACCGTTACTAACGGTTTCAAAACCAGGGCCTCCCGGGAGGTCGGTATCAATACCGTTACTAACACCCCCCGGAGGTTTACTGCGCCACCCTAGTGAAGACAATTGAAAAAATTGAAATTTAAGGCCCATATGTGTCGAGACTCAAAAACTCAAAAAAAAGGTCTACGGGGATCGGCAGTTCGGATAAGTACGGGGAATCGAACCCCGAGCTGCCGCGTCACTACGTGAGAGGCGGCAATGTTAGCCGTTACACCATATCCGACTTAGAGCTGACGAAACATGGCGTGGGAAAGACCATGTCGTTGGTGCACCTGTGGACTCGCTCTGGTAAACATGTATATAATACTAGAAAAGCACTGAAATGCAGTGAACACTGAAAAGCCTGTTATCTGTTTACATAATATAAGTCCAAAGATGTGAAAAGTTCCCTTGGAGCCTTAAGCCCCAAGGGGAGCACATTCTCTCTCCAACCACTTGAGTGCTCTCTCATCACCCTCCAGCAGGGGCCCAACCTTTTCCTTGACCTCGGTATGATACTCATCCACCCATCGAATCTCACTCGGCTCGAGTAAACCGACATCAATCAACGCCCTCCCAATCGGACACATCGTCAAACGCTCAAAGCCAAAGAAGGGTTTGTCTCCAAACGCCTTGTCCTTGGGAATCTTCGGCACAACGAGAACGACATTCTCAATCCGAATGCCGTACGCATTTTCTACCAGCAAGTTTAAGAAGTGAAGGGTGCAAATGTAAAAAGACTCACCTTTGTAATACCCCGGCTCATTACTCACTGTCATGCCCTCTTTCAGCGGGGTTCCATTGTACGCAATACGCGTCCCGATCCCATGCGGACCCTCGTGCACGTTCAGATAATGCCCGACGCCATGCCCCGTCCCATGCCGATAATCCAGTCCGTCGCTCCACAACGCTCGGCGCGCCCACGAATCAATGACGAACCCGGTAGTTCCTTCCGGGAACACTGCCGTGTCGATGGCGATGTGTCCTTGTAGCACGCGTGTAAACGCGCGCTTGACCTCGTCCTGCACGGGCGACGACCCAAAGTAAAGCGTCCGTGTAACATCGGTTGTCCCATCTGTGTATTGCGCACCGGAGTCACAGAGGTAGACATGCTCCTTCTCAATGACACTTGAATTGGTGGTTGGGGGAGAGTAGTGGATTATAGCAGCATTTGGGCCGGTAGATGAGATGGTGGGGAATGAGAGGCCTTTAAAATGTGGTAAGGCAGCACGATATGATTCCAGTTGTAGCGCGGCATCATACTCATTGATTGGCGAGGAAGAGGCGAGAGTTTCTTCCAACCATGCGAAGTATTTGACTAGCGCTGCGCCGTCACGAACATGCGAGGCACGGAAACCAGCACACTCTGTAGAGTTTTTTATTGCTTTGAGGTCTCCAACAATGGAGCGGGTGGACGGAGTGGGGGAAGGCCGGACAAGAGAGGAAACAGCAAGAGAAGTAGAAGGTGGGAGAAGGACTGTGCCTTTCTTCGCCCACTCCTCCAGATACGTCCAGAACGATGAGTAAGGTTCAATTCGGACGCCTTCCAATGTCAGCTGCTCCGCTCCTTGTAAAAAGAGGACGGCCTCTTGAGCGTCGATGATCGCGTAGGAGAAAAAGACGGGATTGTAGGCGATGTCGGTTCCTCGGAGGTTAAACAGCCATGCGATCTCGTCGAGTGCGGAGAGTACAAGGCCTTTTCCGTCCAACGCGTCGCGCACCCGCTTCAATTTGGTTACATGACCCTCTCCCGCGACATCCTCGGGCAGCTGCCAGACAACATTCGACGGTCGCGCCGGGCGTTGAGTACCCCACACCACGTCGACCAGATTATGCTTAGTTGGAACGAGCTCCACCTTGGCATCGTTCTTGGTGAGCGACTCCGCGTCTGAGGCGGATATGAGCCGCGGGTCGATGCCAACCCGCAAGTTCTCCTGTTTCTGCGAGTGTTTCTCGATCCATTCCTGCCACGTAGGGACGTCCTTTACGCCGACGCGCATCAACTCCCAATTCGCGTCGAGTTGGGCGGCGGCTTGGAGAAAGTACCTGCCGTCCGTAAAGAGGAATGCGGAGCTGGGGGTGATCAGTGCGGTGCCCGCGCTGCCGTCGAAACCGCTGATGAAAGCGCGCCGCTCGTCGCAAGACGCGATGTATTCAGAGCCGTCTGGAAGTAAGTTAGTGCCATTTCGTCGTCGCCAAAGTTGCAACCCACGCTCATCGGCACTGCCCACGACATACACGTCAACCGCGTAATTCTCCATTAGCCTGCGCAAGGCAGCGATGCGTTCAGTCGTATGCACCGTGGTCGGCATCGTCGCTTTGTCGTTGACGTCGTGTCCCAAAACTATCGCTGAATAGGCTCGCGAGCAAGGCGGTCTTGCGAACAATGTTCTTGTTCGTGGTGGTGGTGGTAGTTCAGAGGCAAGTCGTAACGTGGGTTGTATCCTGCGAACTGCAGGTACGATTCGAGAGCGATTTGCGGGCGATAATCGCGCAATCGCCCACCTGACTGTCATCCACTAGCAGTCCACTAGTTGCGATGACACTGCATACAAAGCTCAGATTTTTAGATAAGAAATGTAGTTAAAAATCCTTTTGATTTTTAACTAGTTTCTTAAGTTAAAAACTGATTAAATATATTTAAATCTTTTTACTGAAAATTTGACTAAATTGAGATAATTTCAAGAAAAATTCAAGCAAAGTGAGTTTTATATAAAAATATTTTAATTATATTTAAGAAGTTTTTAATCTAAAAAACTAGTTGAAAATCGAAAGGTTTTTTTACTACATTTCTTACTTAAAAATCTGAGCTTTGCATGCAGTGTGATGGTGGTCGGAACGGAAACGTGATCTAATCTTATCTCCCCCAGCACCGACGCAACTTGTATTTCGCTATGTTAGAAAATAATGAAGCATAGGATTGTCATTCAACTGTGTCGTTGGTTCGTGACTCGATACATCTCCTTGTCAATTTTTTCCATTTATATCTGCGATTTCTCATCGTCTTGGAATACCTCCCCCGCTATGCTTAAGTAGTCTCGTTACCGACCGAATAAAAGTGACAAGTCAACGATATACGGTCTGGGGGTTCTCGTGATAATGGAGAAACTAGTGAATACCCGTCCGAAGGATTCAAGGAATGATTCGGACGACACAGTTATGGAAGACATCAGTTTCTAGTCCTTCGGTTTCAGATAGACGCCTTTCGCAGCAAGCTCTGGGACCGTATGGCTCTTCCAAACCCATTTGCCACCTCCAGGATGCTTGCTCATGAGTCCTGGAGCCCAACTTTTCCCGCTGTCACCGACTAGGCGCCATACTAAGCCACAAGAGGCACAATGCTTCGCGAGATAATAGAATGGCTTGTTTCCTGTTCGGTAGGTCGGGATGTCGGATCTGTATATACATGTTGCAGTCAGCCAAGGTGCATCTCCGTCCATCACATCTAGAAAGAGACGCGTATCAGGCTACGGTGAAGACATGTGCACGAAGCACTCACAGACACATGGGACGTAAGCCATGTAGCCTGGACTGGACTTTTCCTCATCGTGCGTCTTCTCAATCATCGGCATATACGCAGCGTAGGACATCCCCGCGGGCGTTCCGGCTGGGGGCGCAGGCGCTAGGTGCGCCGACTGGATCTCAAACGCAAGCGATGGATTGCCCTCCGCTTCCTTTCGATATTTGAGATCGAACCATACACAGGTCTTGTGGAAGTCGTAGGGCTTGGGAGCTTCGAGTATAGCCCATGCTACCGCTGCGTCGAGTGTTTTGACGTGCAGTTCCTTCCAATCCTGAACAAGATACATGCGCTCCTGCGCGGACGGGAGTCCACAAGTATGCAGGGGATGACTGGGATGCCCATTGAGCTCTCGAGCCCGACGCGTCTGCTCTAGGGTACAGAATCCTTTGTGGATTTTCCAGTGCGCTTTCTGATGTTCGGGACTCTAAGATAAGACGCAGGTTAGTAGGACTCACAGCATGATCGGACAGAAACGCACACAATAGCGAACTCCCCGACAGCCGCTGCAGATTTGCATGGGCGGCGCTCCTGGAGCTCTCAAAACATTACAGTGCGCACATCCCTCGGGAGTGTTCCTCGAGTATGACAATTTGCCTGGGCCTGAGTTGATTTTGAAGACGGCTTTGCGTCCTGGATCATTCGGCTGGGGAGCCATTTGCGGCAAATGGTCAGTAGTATTTTCGCAGGAGGAAGTAAAGCGAGGACAGAAAGTAGTGGACCTTGGTCGCGGTGGGCCAGGGTACATCACCTCTGACTTGTCACCTCACGTGGTATGTGTCACAGCGTTTTAGGAATCAGCACGTCCTTGTCCTCGCTCTTGACTCTTGACGTGAACGACAACAATATGTACTTTCTCTCCGTTTCCCGCTGCTTTTTTTGGCTTTGACTATCTACAATGTTTTCGATGCTCTTTCGGACCTCGTCATTCCTAACATGACATGTCATGACGTACACCCCCAAACGCTGACCCAGCGGAATTCCGCTGGGTGATGGGCCGATGGATTCCCAGCGGCAATTCCAGCGGATTCCTGTGAATTGGCAATCCCTGGATACCGGTGGGGTAGACGCTGGATTCCTCTGGGGCAGCCAGGCGATGAAGCTGGGAAAGAAGCTGGAGATAGTTCGGGTATCAGTGCTTGATAAGCGAGCTAAATCTCAAATCATTTTTATTTTTTTGCTTGTCCGACTTCGTTCTCGAGTGATGGCAGATATATACTGAGCATAGAAGTGCATATAATGTAAACCATGTATGAAGAAGAACAGTACGAAGAAGATGGAACAAGGCTAAGCTACGATTGTCCTTCCGAGTCGCCTGCTTCAGGGATGTGCTGCACATCGCCTTGCCCTTCCGGGGCCTCGTTAGCCTTGTCAAGCGTGATGGTAGGAGCAAACGAAATAGCGGCACCAACAGTGACAGGATTAGATGGCAGATTCGGATGCTCTTGTGCGGTGGCGGTCTCCATGCGCAGAATGAGAAGTTTGGAGGGCAGAACGACAAAAATTTTGCAACGGGCGGGGACCAAGGCAGAGCTGGGGAACCATAGGTGAGTGTCGTCCTTGCGTACGGCCTATAGCTGGACTGGTGCGAAAATTGAGGTTGGATATTGCACGAGAACGTTGGCAGTCGGCGGCGGTGGCAACCAAGTGGGAGTGGAGGATGGCAGATGGCGACCATGGATGTTTGTTTGGCTGAGTGCTGAAATTGGCAAGTCCTGGACTTG